CTTTAATGAAAATGTTGAATATATATATACACTTTTATACTAATATATACATGCGTTAATTTTCAATAAAATTTAAAGTTTTTCAAACTACAAAACACAATACTTTTACATAGATATTATTTATCTCCTCGTTAAACTGTGATAAATTTTAAATACATCACAAGCTCAACTCCGATTTGAAATTTTGGAGTTTGTAAAACATGCATGTGTTTTGAAGTGCCAAAGATCTGAATCGACTGAACTGACGTTTGATGTAGAGTTTACAATTAACACAGCATTTGCGGAATATAGCCACGATTTTATCATTCTAGTCAAGAGAGTACGGTGTAACATATACGTGAAGTTATGTGTAGTAATTATAGTAATCACTACTAAGTAGTGCCATAGGGTGGATTTTATTAAATTTTATGAGTAGAATATCTATACTTTTAGAAGTCTATAAATAAACAAGGAACCCAACATTCTCTGATTATGAGAGATGCAATGCTCCATTCTTAGGAGACTCTTCGTATGACTGAACTAATGAACTTCTTTTTTAAGCTTTTTTTCTTCAGTCATCTCTTTTGGACTGATTAATTTACATATCTATTTGATCGTTATTCAAGATTTCTGTAACAACAATTTTGCTATGTACATATTATACAAGTTAACTGTTTATTGGTACTATAAAGTTAAAGGGTTGTGCTTCCATAAGTCAGTAGTAAAAGGTATAAAGTATTGTAATTTTTTGTACATATGATCGATTTTATAAGCCATATAAGATAAGTGAATATTTATAGCTTTGGAGGTCAGTTTTTGGATAAAAGATATATTGTAAACTTGCCGCAAACAGCACAAAGAGTGTTAACTTTTTATTCTTTATTTACTAAATTAGTTGCGGCTGGTTTATAATTAATAAAGTAGCTCTGCTGCAAGTAGTTATAGTTTTTTGGATCAGCGCCATCTAGCGGTCGTGATTTTTTGGCCAAAAGTGGCTCCTAAAATTCTCAATGAGAGCAATCAGGATTAGAGCCATTTAGTCAATTATAAACCAGCCGCAACTTATAATGAAGCTATAAACTAAAAAAATAACGATACATGTGTTTTTGGCGGCAAGTTAACAATTTATCTTTTACTCGAAAATTCATCTTCAAAAGTATAAATACATAGGAGGTCGATTGTTTGGTAGAAAATAGATTGTTAACTTGCCGCCAAAAACACACGTACTGTTATTTTTTCATTTTATAGCTTTATCATGAGTTGCGGCTGGTTTATGATTGACTAAATGGCTCTAATTCTGATTGCTCTGATTGAGAATTTTAGGAGCCACTTTTGGCCAAAAAATGAAGACCGCTAGATGGCGCTGATCCAAAAAACTATTACTACTTGCAGCAGAGCTGCTTTATTAATTATAAACCAGCCGCAACTAATTTTTTAGATAGGCAATAAAAAGTTAATATGTACTGTGCTATTTGCGGCAAGTGTATAATTTATCTTTAACCCAAAAATAGACTTCTAAAAGTACAGATATTCTACTCATAAAATTTAATAAAATCCACCATATGGCACTACTTAGTAGTGATTACTATAATTACTACACATAACTTCACTTATATCTTACACCGTGCGTTCTTTAAGTACCAGAATAAAAAAATCGTGGCTATATATTCCGCAAATACTGCTATAGCAGTTAAGTTACGTAGATCGTGGTAACGCCGCATGGTCGGGCGGCGCTTGCGTCTACCTGTACTAACTGTCACAGTAGGTGTGAAACTGTCGGTGGGTTCCGCATTATGTAAACAAACTCCGAAACATCGGGTGGCATGGGAGTGAAAACAGCACGAAATATCGAAGTTTGTTGACATGCGGAACCCAGTGGGTTATAAATTATTAGGTGTATCCATACTTATGTACAAATTAGCACCCGGTTTAGAAGTACATATTTATGTAGTAGACAAAGTGACAAACGCATTATATACACTTAACGCACGTGGACTTTGATTACATTATTGATGATAAAACACCGATATACCGATCACCTCATCATGCATGTGTTTGTGTATATATAAATATGTACATGTGTGTTTTCCTGAATCCTGAACTTCCTGTCTAATTCAGACAGTCTGAATGAAAGGCTTTTGCGCATATCGTTGGAGCCGCGTTTTTACACCATTCGAAAAGCAGCAGACGAGATTCGTAGGCGCGGGGAAATATAATTGTCTTGTCGTGCAGGTTTCTTTATTCAACGGGGTTTGGGTGTATGTGAAATAGGGCAAAGTGTGATTTAGCAACTGAAATGTCATACCTGAACGTGCAGAATTACCTGGCAAAGTTTTGCGCTCGCTGTGTTGTTTCCTTGCCAAAGATCACGCTTTCGCGATCACAAAAGGTAAGCTTATCACGTACAGTATACAAACAACTTATAAAACAGGTTATGGGGGCACGTCTCGCCAATTTACTTATGTAAGATGAAAATCGATGGTTTTTAACGTAATTTATATCTTCAATTAGAAAGCCTAAAGAATTAACTTGTTGCTGGCAATTTTTTACAATATTGTGGGTACGTTTTTATTGAAAATTTGAGCTTGAACTCAGCTGTCAGTGAGTACTTGCAATTAGACCCTCAAGATAAAAGTAATTACTTATTTTGTTTTTATATTAATTTTCTTTCAGATTTTAATTATATGTTTAACAAGTGGTACTCTACTACTTGGCAGTCTAGCCCAATACTTGAAAAGGCGTAGGAAGCATCCAATCCCACCTTCTAGAAGGCATCTCAGGGATTCTAGACAGAGATTAATCAATTCAAAGAATTCTAATTTTGGTGAGACGGGAATAACATGATGGCTTGTTGAATGGAGCATAGAATAATTTATCTGAACATCAATTTAATAACAGATGCAGTTTCCCAAGCATCTTGGGCTAGAAGAAGTGAAGCCAGTACGCGTAGTCATATCAGCGACAGAGCTTCTTTGATATCTTCTGTACCAGGGGGTGCAGATGGAGATTCCAAGCTTACACCCCAGCAATATGGAGTACTTGGTGAGCTTAAACAATATAATTTTAGTAATAAATTTAAATGATTTTTCTCTTTAATGAAAATGTTGAAAAGAGATATTGTTGTGATTGCGGAAAAAAAGGTTTTCGTTAGCTGTAGGTTATTGGGAAGAGAAGGTTATAAGAAATTTATGTTTATACTAATCAGTAGATAATGTGAAAGATCATTAGATGGGCACAAAACGATTAGTCAATAACTTTTGAGTGAACTGCACTTGATAAAAAAATTAGAACAGGCTGAATTTTTTTATAGTCCAAACGAAGAATGAACTACATTAAAAATATTTGCTTTGTATATGCATAACTTCAGAAGACCTTTAATTTATAGATGAGGTCGGGGAAAATAAAAATTCTATGATTATGATCTCGGATCAATATATTATGTAACATTTATTTCTGTTTCTGTATTTATTTACTTACACACGTTTAAATAAGCATGTTATGAGGGTATTTGGCGTATATTTTGCAAGTCATGAATGCATTTGTATATTTGTTTTCTTCTTGTTCAAAGCATTATACAATAAAGTTTTCTTCGTTGGACAAATTAATAATTATTAGCGCTCGTACATGCAATATTCTTGGCAAAACGGATTTGGCTGGTCAAATCTCCCAATGAATGTCCTGATCAATCGATAAAATTTCCTCTTTTGAGTAATTATTTTATTAAGATCTTTGATTAGGATGTATTTGTTTTTTCATTTTATAATTGCCCGATTCAACTGTAACAATAAATCATTAACTATAATGGAATGTTAATCATTATTTTTCTTTGCTTTCTCAAACTTAAAATCTGAATATCACAATTGTTTAGGAATTATTTTTATTCATATTCAACTGTATCAGGATAAGTTATGGGTGGTTATTTTTATTTTCATTTGTTTTTCATTGGTTTATGAAAAAAAATATATGTATATTAGTAATAATAAAAAAACAATCGTCTACAATTTGTCATTAAAAGCAAACGTGTCATCAATAAAAAAACAACTGTGTGCACATTATATTGTAAAATTAACGTTTTCATAGAATAGTTTGAGAAAGTAAATGATACTAGAGATAACAATTTTTTTTTCTTAATTATATCATATCGAAAGAAATTCTAGAAAATATTTACAACTTTGATGCCTCTCTTCAAATTAAAAAATTTCCCAAACAAACGCGAAAAAGTAACGAAATACGCATTCCCATTATTTAAATAACAAACGATTTATTTACCAACAAAAAGCAATAAGTTTCTTTTCCCTTATTTTTAATTTTTGAGCAGACCATTATTACCCTGACCATTTTTAATTAATTGCTCTTTGAAGAGGAGTAAATTTTCCAAATCAAAGAACATAAAACTTGTCTTCTACCGCAATCAATAATTAATCTACGCAGATTTTCATTCACTAAAAGAATAAGATCGACATCGGTGAGCACTAGGAATTCATAAGACCTGCAACTCTCGCTACGAATTACTTACACTGCTATACTCTTACAAACCTTATCAAACGTCTAAAGTTACGATGTTGCGTCTATCTTTCAAAAAATATACTTAGCGTGGCCGTTCTCGTGATTGTTCATTATTAATATTATTATTATTCTTTAATTTAACCTCATTTGGTTGTCCCTTCATTTCTTCTCTTTTGTTTATAACGCACTTTTTTTTCTTTTCTTTGCTCATCGCATTCTATTACTTATACCTACAAACAATCGTTTTCATGGTGGCGCGTATTTATCTAAAATAAAGGTAGCTCTTGTGCTGCGCGGCCGATTCCGCGTGTACATGTGATATAATA